CTCAATTAGTTCGGTCGATATTCAGTAACGCAAAGATAATTTTCACTTAAGTGGCAATAACCGAAATGTTAAGTTGCTTAACTACATCAAAAAACGGTCAAAATTTTTCCCAGAGTAGAGTTACGAACAATCCAAATAATTCGATTACTAATGGTGGGCCCCAAAATGGGTTATAACTGTCTTTTTTTCCCAGAGTGGGCATTACTAGGCATTTTTGGGCATTAGGCCTTGCTGGGGCATTATAAAGACAAAATAAGATAAAATAAGATAAAAGAAGATAAATAAGATAAAACAGGATAAATAAGATAAAGTAATGCCCACTGGGTATTAGTGCATGGGCATTGGTATACAAGATTTTGGTCAGCGGTTTCCCCCTCGGCTCCGATTGAACGAATTTCAATCTAATCTCAGTCCCGTTGCGCAGTTTGACGCGGGCTTTCGACACTCGCTACTTAGAAATCGGACAAGAGAAACCGCGGCTATTTTATACCATTTTGGAGTTTGCATTCCGTCGCAATAATAACTTGCGCGATGACAGACGAGCGATGAGACAGGCGGATCGTTTGTCCAGTGACACGCGCGCCGTCAAGAACCGTCGTTATGTAAATAACGCATTTGATACGAAACGTGCTTCTTGACGAGTGCATCCCAGGTGCGCACGCATCCGTGGTTTCGCCGCGGCAGGTGAATCACCGTGACGAAAGTGCAGGGACCCCTCTTGTGTGTGATGCGCGTATCTGCATCGAGATACCTCGGTCCCATGCAGAACGGAAAAGCGGCGCGGCGGCGCGGGGAAACCGCGCGCGAATCGCGGCCGCAGTGTTTCTCAAACGTGATATTTTGGCGCGAAACGCTTCGGCATATAAAAAATATCGCACGTTACGCGCGAGGTGATAAATTACCCTCCTCCCTTTGCAATTTTAACGGCGCTGTACATGGATGCCGATCGAAGCGGCGGTGTCTATTTCCACGTCGCGCTCTTCGATTGCGCTTCCTTCAGGTTCTTGAACTCTTCACCCCGACGAAAATAGGAGAGCCGATCCGTTCACTTCGGAATCAAATTTGCTCCAATTTCGCATTCGCCAAATGGAGAATTTAATCTGATTACGGTATCTATGATATTAAAAATGTCCGTCAAACTGTCATTTATTTTTTACATCTCCAGGTCACTGTACTATTCTGCTGCCAGAGCTTCATGAAACTTTCATTACTTTGATTACTTAATTATACGCGAGGGAAACCTACATATCTCTTTTGCCGCACGATTCTGTAAAGTGTAACTGTACGGTATAAAACGAGCAGAGAGCAAATTTGGAAGTCTTTCATCGATTTATTAATACTTGATTTGTCGATAATCTCTTTATGATCATAAATAAATGTTACTGAAAATAAATGCTATATCGGCGCGTAACGTGCCTTCTGGATGGCAAGGAAAAAATGTCGTAGGGTACTGCCGAGGGAGAAATCGCTGAGGGCATTGTGGTTTACAGATTTGCGGCATTACTGGGCATTACTAGGCATTTTTCTAGGCATTAGTTTGGGCATTGCTGGGGCAAGTTCGTCTTTAATTATAGAGATATAATAAGATAAAAGACACTACCATCCTGTCACGGCTCTGAGTCCTTTAAATTCTTTGAAATTTGTGTTTAACACATACGAGCCTTACTAATTTATATAAGATAAAATAAGATAGAACGAGATAAATGAGACAAAATAAGTTAGTAAGATAAAGTAATACCCACTGGGCATTAGTGGGTATTGGTGTACAAGATTTTGGTCAGCGGTTTCCCCCTCGGGTTTCCCCCTCGGGTACTGCGGGATGACTTTTGTCGATGACGACCACCTATACTGGGCCGATCGAGGCTAATGCCGCGCTCAGACTGGACGCGATAAGCGACGAGTGATAATCCAGTGGGTGTGCAGTCTTTATAGAAAAACAGTACACTTTCCCATAAAACCTGTACGCTCATTGGATTATCGCTCATCCCTCATCGCGTCCAGTCTGAGCGCGGCATTACGCCTCGGGGTTGAAAGTCCCACGTTCTCGATAATACGCGTGAGATGTTCGTCTTTAAATGATTACGACGTCGACTACTATTACATTGATATATCGATAGCCATTTACACATGTACATACAGTGGTCCGTGTATAACGCGACAGTGTAACAACGCGTGCGGTAAAATGCATCAACGCGGCAACCGCAGCACGTGCAGCGAAACGCATAGCCGCAACTTCGTCGGGCTTCCCGCGAGCGCTCTCATAGTTCGGCCAAGTATTTCCGATACAGGTATCGGTCAGGACGCGTGCTGCGTCGATTATTCTCGCAACTATTTCCCTTTAACTTAAGGTCACTTAAGGTGGGCTCTGCTCCCATCTTTTTCTGCGAAAAAAAAGTAAAGAAAAAGAATAAACATCTAGAATTCTAGCGGCTATTTGCAAGAGTTACTTTTGCACGAAGTTGGACGTGAACGCGAGGAGAACGGTGAGGAAGGTGTACCACCAAGATCCGCTATTGGCAATACAATCCGCCGACGATCGATGATGCGCGTTTGGCTTGGTATCCCCCGTCGTTTTTTCCCGCCGGCAGTAATATTCGTCGTCACTCGGCAGAACGTCCTTCACAATGTCGAGGAAGTCCTCGAAGGGACACATCTCCGCGCAGCCTGGGATCGTCTGTACGATCAATTGTTCCGTAACGCCAGTCCATAGTAAAGCCTGCGGGAAAAGACGCGCGAGAGGTGAATTTTCAGCATCGTGCATTACTGACGATAAGAGAAATACGGTAATGATAAAAACTCGAGAAAATGCAATGCAAGTTATAAGAATAAATGTAACACAAGTTAACGCAATAAGCTGCAAGAATAGAACAGAGTCTCCTCTTGCATTGTATAGTATTTTTGCGGAAAGTGTGGATTCGTCATCGATGTATTGCCCTTGATAGAAAATCCCTTGTTCCGTAGATCCGTAATCCCCAGATTTATTTATCGCATAGAATGCCGTACCCGAATATAGTAAAGTCCCTTCTTGTCCCGGAGAGTTTCCAGGATGATCGTGGCTCCGAAAGCCGGTACCGTTGGTTCGTTCGTTCCTAAAGTATAGGCGAGGGCAGCCACGTTGGCTTCGTGTCCACCAAATAGGAAGGCTTTTCGGTCACGTATCAATTTTCCCGCTCGGTGCTCCTGAATGTCATCCACCAACTTGCGAAGCAGCATACCTGTGGCACGTGGACAGCGGTTAAATTAAAAGTTTTTTCCGTGGTCTTCTTTTGGAGATATGAAAGTGAGAGAATGTGTGAGATATTCCTGAAATATTATAGATGATCAAACGGCATATTCCATTTGTCTTCAGAGGCGAAGAAGGTGATTGCAAATCCGGAAAAACGCATTGTTTCCAAGCTACAAATACACATTCCGCCTGTGGCAAAGTTTTATGAGGATATCTAAGAAATTCATGGAGATCTGATCTTAAGATGAATATTGCTCTTCCTTTAAGCTTTAAAGGAACTGTTGCAAATAACTTCCCCGCGCAGCAACGCGTGCTTTGCCTCGATGTCTTATGAACTCGAATACAAACTGAATTTATATACTAGAGTACGGAAGGATCGCACGCCTGATGTTCTCGTTCTTTTAGAGTGAACAAAAAATATATATATTGCACATATTACGTATTGTATGTTCCCTTGAGAATAATGCACCAAATTGCTTTATATTTATTAATGGTACTTCTAGTTTTAATTTTGCTTCATGGCTTTCATTGTACACTAGGAATCACTGATGCCTTCCTATATGAATTTAGTCACAGGTAAAACCACATAGCGTGGTTTCTGTTAAATTAATAGGCGTCATCTGAGGGGGAAACCGCTGACCAAAATCTTGTACACCAATGCCCACTAATGCCCAGTGGGCGTTACTTTGTCTTATTATCTTATTTAATCTTATTTTATCTTCATAATACCTCGGCAACATCTAATGCCCAAAAAATGCCTAGTAATGCCCAGTAATGCCGCAAAATCTGTACACCACAATGCCCTCAGCGGTTTCCCCATTGTAGAGGACTTTCCTCTACACTTTTCATGCATTTGCGAAATGTATAAATGTGTTGATATGTGCACAAATTTATGTGGGGAGGCATCGGCGATTTCCTAGTGCACATAACAAAGGCATGATTTCAAATTGGTGTTAACATTTTTTTTAAACAAATAAAATACGCTACGTAAATTATAATAATAAGTAAATTTCAGTAACACTCTGTGCGGTAAAAGTACCAACCTCCATTTAATCTCTTCAAGGTTTTCGTATATGATCGAAGTTTGAAGTCCAATTGTAGCATCTCTAGCAACGGATTCGGGTAAACGTTCTGAGTCCATTTCGGTAGCGTCAAATTTTGTGCGGCCTGGAAATGGTTATACGACGAAAATTCAAACGAAAAAACGAACGCTCTAAATTTATCACTGTCGGGACGCTCGCTTACCTCCTCTTTCATTAGATTGTACAAATGACCAACTGCTTCCGTCGTGTTAATCAGCTTACCGCTATGATCCGTCAAATAGTCCATTACATTTTTGTACTTATTGATAATCTCTTTCGTACTGTCTAGCTGAAGGAACCGTTGATATGCTTCCTTATATCTAAAAAATAAAAGTCGAGAATGACTACAAAATATTGATTTTTTTAAATAAAATAAAAGATAAGCTTTCTTTTGAGATGTTCTTTGAATCATATATCATGTTTCGTTGCAAAGTTAGTCAATCAAAAGTAGCGGAAAAAAGCGGTTTTGCGGTATTTCAACGCTCTGTATCATCGATAGTAGAACTAATAAAAAATGTTCACTAACGTATTCTAACTCAGCGACTCTAAATTAGTAAAGATTTATTGATTTCGTTTCCGAGACAGTTTTGATATTGGCCAGTGTTATTAGAGTTTTTCTGTACGAAACATGCACGCGCGGAAGAACACGCATAGTTAAATTCTTTCCCTCTTCTCATTCTTGATTTTTATTTTGCAACATAAAGTTAAAATAGTGCAAGACAAAACGAAGGGAAACAAAGACGTCTTGAACATCTGTATAAAAGAAGATCGGCGAATGAAGAGTGAAGGAAAAAGATGTGAGAATCGTCAATCCTGTTATCGGGTCCTTGCGTGCAATTCCCTGTAAAGTTACTTACCGATAGCAGGAATAATGCGGAAACAAGAGGTTGTCAGTCTCGTACGGCACGAAGAACGTCGATGTCGGAATCCAGGGCAAGTGCGGATTCCAGGTTTGCTTCTCGGAGGGCGGGAATAATCCTGCCAGAACTAACTGGAGAGACAGCTGGGTTCGCGGAACCTCCGTAGATCGAGCATAGATCTTGGCCGGCCAATAATCCGGTCCGAAGTATTGATCGTATCTCTCGCGCAGCATCATCCCGATTTTGTACTCCCGCATCTTGCCTTGCTAATTGCACGCGAAAGAACAATCGAGTTAGACAGGTGACTTTCGGAGGGGCCGGATATCGGAAAATTACACGGACCTGTTTAGTCCGCGCTATTTTCTCAATTTTCGTTAGACGTGACGAATATTCAGCGAAGTTCGGGAATTGATTTCTCATTCGCGGGAGTCATCGAAGGATTTCCGAGGTGTTGGAAAATGGAGGTGAACGTTTAAGCCCAATCTAGAAACATTGTATTTTGTATAAGCAAATCGAAATGCTGAAGAAACTCATCGACGATGTACACTGTACAATTTATCAGTTTGCACAAATTTTGTAAACACATTTATCGGCTGCAAAATAGAACGTTTCTACGCAAAGAGCATGTTGTGGAGGCTTTGTACTTGTGTTTCATGACATAAAACGGGAAAATGAGATAAGATAAATGAAATGATAAATGAGGATTCAACGGCAGCGTGTGATCCTAATCTGCTGTAAAACATGTTATCGGTTTGAAAATAGTGAAGACGTATATAGAGATAATACATCGCGATACACGGCGCTCCTGTGCAATCGAATCGATCGAGCTGACAGTATTTCATTGCGCGATGTAACATCTTAATCGCTGTGATTTGCACTCACGTTGGTCAAGTCACCGGTCCCCATTGGGTAGTAAGAGTGGTCGCGATGCGGATCGTTGGGGTAGTTTTGGACCTCTCGCTGGGGCACTTTGTCACCGTGGCGAAATACCTTCGAAACAGAATATACTTATGTAAGCTATATCGTCATCATCCGTTATCATCACTGTCGCCGCACAGACAGTCGCGATAATGCAAATGCTTTGTTACTTGTCTCTCGCACGAGGGATCGCTTTCCCGTAACTTCTTAATTTCTCTCGAAAACTTGTCTCGACCTCGCACCTGCGTAATTCACGAAGCAAGTGTTTGCCTCTGGCAGTGGCACGAAACAGCGATAGAGATAACTTGTTTCGCATGTTCGAAAACAAAACGAACATCGAGCGGTCGCATTTGCGCGAAAACGGGGGAGCGTTCGGGTCTTCGAAAGAAAAGGGAATTTTCTTTGCGTCGTTGCTTAGACACAGTCCTCCGGAAAAAGTATTGCTCACTGATCTCGCGAACATTCCGCGCCTCCGAAGGAACGAAATAAAGAGCTTTACCACGTGAAGTAGCTGCAGCTCCACGTCGGGAGTGAGCGACGCGGCGAGACTGCCGAGAAATACGGTGAAAATCATCGACAGCGTCGGAAACATTCTCGCGGTATCTTCTCGAAAACACGTTTACTTGGGACGAGCACTTTCAACGCTTAATTCACGCGACTTAAACGACCGTCGCGATCGGAATCAACGATTTCACGACACAATCTCTACGGATGGTGTTTATATTTCTACTCTCGCCTCCCTGTAGCACATGCGAGTGGGGGCGGGATAAGGAACAGTCGAACAGGCTCGTAATTCCGATGATTTTTATTAGCAAGTTCCCCGCTCTCAGCAGGCGTCCGATCCTTTTTCCTGACGTTGATCGTCACCTTCCACGAAGGACGCGCGAGCAAACAGCAGGAAATTCACAGAAAACCGCAATTGACGATCTCTCCGGCGTAGGGAATTCTCTCTGCCATTTTTAAACCGAACGTTCACATTCCGCCACGCGATATCTCATTTGTGAATCACTTATAATTGCCAATGTACGCGCAGGGAGAGACGAAGTCAGTCTGCGAGAACTTCGTTTTATTGACTTTTTCCGAACAGCTATTGTGCTGTGTCTAAACGCAATACGAAAACTAGTGGTCCGATGTTTTTGGAAGTGAGCTGAGTTCAAATTGACCCGGATGTGCGCGGAGAAGACAGAATTGGAAGATTATAATGTTATCTTCTGATCAAACATGATTTCGTCTCTCTCTCACAATTTTAACTAATCTTTTATGAATGAGCTTTCCAAAATTTGAAGATGAAGAATAAAGAAATCGTTTTTGTGAAGATTCTGGCGAGGGGGAAAACCGCTGACCAAAATCTTGTACACCAATGCCCACTAATGCCCAGTGGGCGTTACTTTATCTCATTATCTTATTTTACCTTATTTTATCTTTACAGTGCTCCAGCAAGACCTAATGCCCAAGAAATGCCCAGTAATGCCCAGTAATGCCGTAAATCTGTACACCACAATGCCCTCAGCGGTTTCCCCCTCGGATTCTGGTTAAAAATTCTCACAAAAAATTGCTAATAATAAATGTTCTTGAAAGAGATATGTGAAAATATTATTGGCGATCAGCGGCGAGAGTCTCTGTTATGAAAACAGACAATCATAAAATAGCGTTCCGATGGCTCTTTAACGTAGCCGAATATTCAACGAAGCCACAATGTTATTTTATCCAGAAGCGCCTTGCGCTGCGCGTTTATCTGGACCGCCTTTGATTTTCGTTGTTCTTTTTCCCTAACTGGAAAACGATTCCTCGCGCACTCATGAATGTGCTGAATTTACGAGTCTCGCAAATACGTCCGTTCAAACAGGCTTATCTACGTGCACGTAAATAACAAACGGATCTATGGAGACTACTATAAAAAGCGCCATATGATTTACGAATCTCTGAAGTCTCTTTGATTCTTGAAGCCCTTTCCAGTATTGTTCGTCTCGATGATCGCAAATTTCGCCGAGTATTTTAACAGTGGACAAATAACAGCGTGTTATAATTAACAATCGTTTATTTTATGGACAGCTACTATATTGCGCACAGTGTTAATAATCGTTAATATTCTTTCAATTTTTGATTGGAGACGGAATAATTAATCACTCGTTCGTTCATAATATTTAAAAAATTTTCATTTCACGCACGGAAAAAAATGTAGCTACCGTAGCTGAAAACTGCATGTGGTAAATTCCAGTTGTGAAATATGGACAGCTAATATTTAGTTGTAGCGCTGATATTTTGCTACTGTGCCTATTGTATTAGGTGCGACAGCAAACCGTTTGGCTTAGAAATTTGGTTATTATGGCAGCAAAATGTTTTCAGCAAACCATAATTAGCTATGGTAGCGAAAAAACTTTTCTTCACTGCGAATCTACGTCTGAAAGACTTGTCATTATCTTATTAGAAAACTCATCTGTGAACAATCCTTCGTCGTTTTATCAAAATTTGTTGTCAATTGAAAACCAATTATTACATCGAGCAAATGATTCATTCGTCAAATGAAGTATGATTTTTTAAATCATGTTTTAATTTCCACTTCTTTGAGAAAAAGTAGAGAAACACCGATTATTCCTTTGTGCACACGTTCTCACGTACTCTCATATATTGTTACACACAAAAGGTGTCGCAAGACACTTTTTATATTTTTCTTGAGCTTAGCGAAATACCGATATTTCTACGATACATGTGTCGGCATATTAAATTGATATTGATATGTCGTGCCAGGTGCGGACGTGCGTCAAATCGACTAGATCGAATATATATCATGTTGTGGAGGTCCCAAGGATATCCAGTCGATTCGACTTTTAAGGGCAACGCGGTGCTTATTTTGACGTTCACCGCGCTACGGAAATGCTGCCGCAATCGCGTTTGAAATATCAGTGGATACGTTATTCGCCTCGTTGTTAGAATCACGGTTTTGGGAACCTCTCCGTTCGGGAACACGGCGTAATTACGTTTCTTGAATATCGTTCAAGTTTGACTTTCTATTCGCTTTCGTGAAATCAACGCGGCTGTATAACCAGTCCCAAGGCATTCGTAAGAATTCGGGTGTGCCCAATGACTCATATGGGCATGATTGGAACAGAATCAGGCGAGTACAAAGATATCGTCGACGTTACCGCGTCTCCTTGCGGTGCATTACGCGGAATCGTCGCACGCTCTCGCTTCATTTGACCGCACATAATAAATTTACCTTCCGTAATTTAATTCACGGAAATCAGGAAAACCTCGGAGAAGGCTTTTCGACGGCACTGATGTTCGCGCGCGTAATCGAACAACTATTTCTGATTGGATCGCTGAATTCCGACGGGCGCCCGCGCAACGGGATTCCTCGATCTTACTTTTACGAAACAGTCGAAGTTGCTGAAATATGTAGGTATCGTTTACGTAATATGTGGCAAAAGTGAATCGTCGCGTGTTAACGTTCGAATCTAGGACTTTAAACGAGGGGTAAACCGCATTGTGTACAGACTTGCGGCATTACTGGGCATTACTAGGCATTTTTTAGGCATTAGTTTGGGCAGTAGGCCTTGCTGGGACATTATAAAGATAAAAT